TTACTAACCACAGCGACAGCAGGCGAGACACAGGGTTGCGGGCAACCCTTACGTACTTTTTTGTCTTACCCAAGGGAGGAGGAATATGTTTTGGCATGGATAGCTTTTTCCCACAAGTTGCAACTTTGTCTGCTAGGATGTCACATATCAGTTAGATTTTATGTCACATTGTGCCTGTCTAAGGTTGATCAAGTTCAAGTTCAGTGTATTTTTATGGATACTAATAAAAGTTTGGTCAGACATTGGGAATAAATTCAAAAATGAAGCCCCAAATGGGGGGAGGGGGATTTATGTTCTTTTATGGGTACTCACAAGGGTGGATCTGATCAACTGCTGCAGTGGTATAGATGTAAAATCTCTATTTTTCTTTAAAAAAAATGTGAACCAAAAATTATCACGTCAAAATCAAAGAACCAATCATATGATATTTATGGAAGTACCTTATGGAATCATAATTTTTTTTCTGTATCATGTGAATTATTCATATTTGGTGAAATGTTGTTATAAAAGCCATGATAGCATATACGACATATTTTGTGAAATATGAAAGACCTATCATATGTCAATATTACCATTACAGGCTTAGTTTGGACTTTCAGTAAGGCGTGGCATTCTCAACGTTACCTAATTAGCTTCTGAAATTTACACAGCTTCCTATCACTGTTGAAATATACATGTGATAGAGATGCGGTCGAATGTAGTAAATAGCCAATTAAAAGTTCTCTCACTACACAGAGGTGGGGCATAAGTCGTCTCATCGTTATCAATAACAATTTAAAGTTCCTGATGTTATTAATTTCGTAACCAATGAGAATCTACTAGTATTCGCTTTTACGTAGCGCCGAAAAAGTCACGCCCTATTGAAAGTCCAAAGATAGGGTGAAAAACTCATAAAATGTAATGTAGCACCACTTTTTTGAATTAGGTCAAACATGAAGGTAAATATTAAGGTGTGAGATATAGCATGCACAGAAATATCATGTCACAGATAATGCACATGTAAAATATGAAACCCTATCTCTTCTAAATCAAAAGTCAAAAGGATTTTTGAAAAGTAGGTCATACTTCAAGGTCAAGGTACCATGGTCAAAAATCATTATTAGTTAAAAACATAGTTACATGTACTAGTTCATTATGAAAGGAATTACCACAGGGAATGCATGTATAATCTGAACATGTCGAAAGCCCTATCTCATCTCATTCAAAAGTTATGACCAAGGTTTTAAGTTTTTGTGACAGATGAGCAGACCAACAGACTTACAGATGACATATGATAAGATTCAATTATTAATTATCATGAAATCTTGCATTTGATAAAAAGGATGACAAAAATCAATAGAACCATACACTAAAAGGGATTGACTGACCTTGACATGATGTTGCATATACCCGGTAGATGCTTTTTATAAAAATTTAGGTCTTCTTTTAAATAATTAACAATAATTTATATTTAGGAAGTTTAAGTAGCTGACATAATAAAAAATATATCAAGTTTGAATACATTTAGATCTATTTCAATGCAAAAGCAATATCGATCAATATCGCCTGACTGCATTATGCAGAATGAAAATTCAGTTCTCTAAAGGTCATACGCAACATACCGGTAGTTTGAACTTTATTAGGATCTTCCCTGGAGTGTCAGAGTTTCACTTAATGAAGGACCTGGGTACAATACTTTGAATGTCTTTATATGGATTTGTACACCTCTTCTAAAACTATGTTTGATGAAAAAGAAATCTGGAAATTATGTTCTGTAATTATAACCCCGGATCGAAAGATCGGGGGTATATTGTTTTTGTCCTGCCTGTCTGTCTGTCTGTCTGTTTGTCCCCCAACTTTAACCTAGCCCATAACTATTGAGTGGTAGGGGCTATGGCTTTCATAATTCATAGGTGTGTTACTTGTGACATAACCTTTCTTTGGGTACCACCAAATTTGACCTCTTGACCTTGACCTTGGAGTTTGACCTACTTTTATTAGTCCCCTACTGGTGAAACCGGGGGGGACTATAGGTTTCCTCTGCGTCCGTCCGTCTGTCTAGCTGTCTGTCCCCGTCAGTCTGTCCCACTTGGTTTTCCACACTTTTTTTCTAAACGCTTGCAGATATTGAGCTGAATTTTGGTATGTGAGTGTATCTTAATGAGTTACAGATCAAGTTTGAATTTTGCTTTGCTTCATTGATTTTTGACAGAATTAGGGCATTTTGAATATTTTTTCATAATCGCTTAATTGAGATCGGGTTCGAACTGCGCTAACTTCCAATTGTCGACAGAAATATGAAGCGAGGAAAGGACGGTGGAGAAATGAGTTGAATTTTCGTCTTAATGTGGATTATTTTATTAGTTTTAAGGCATTTACAACTTGAAAATCTCTCAGTTTTACCTTGGACATGACTTTTGCATATTATAAAATGACATCCAGAAGGAAAAGGGGAACCCGGTAGGGGACATGTATTGCTTATGCAATACTCTCAGAATGCTTGTTCTATTTGTTATCGACTTTAACTTTCGCCATAACTTTTGAACAGATCAAGATAGAGACTTCATATATCAAATGCATAGACTCCACTAATTAAGCACTTTCAACTGACACCAAGGACAATGACCTTTTGACCCTGACTGTGACCTATATGCTAAAATTAGATTTTTCGAACTTTCGGTATAACTTTTAAACAATAGGAGATAGTGACTTGATATTTGATATGCCTACTTCACTAGTTAAGTGCTTTCAAACAACACCGAGGTCAATGACCTTGTGACCTTGACTGTAACCTTTATGCTAAGAATAGCTTTTTTAAACTTTGTTGCTGTGGGGGCACAGTGTTTCACAAACACATCTTGTTTTTGTATATTTCTTTGAATAATGCAAACATTTTCACAATTTGATATTTTTTCAAAACCCCTAGTAACACTAAATTAGAAACATAAAGAATTATTGTTCACTTCCAACATATAAATTCTAACATTAATTATAGTGAACATAATGTATGTAAAAACTTAATTGATTTGTTATCCAATGTAGTTTTAATAGTCAAGCTGATGGATGTGATCATGGTGATAAGGATACATTTTAAAAACTAACTAGTGGTAAATAAAGCACCGTAGTATTAAGCTTTGAATGCATTGATAAAGATGTCTTATTTCATCATGTTCATTACATGTACCTGGGTTTTTTTTTTTGCCGGTAGGTGGTTATTTCAGTTAGGTTAATAAAGAGAAACATACGAGATGTAATTAAATTTCATTCTTTTATTTTCATTCATAAAGATGATGAAGATACCCAACATAATGATTAAAAGATAGAGAGAATAAATCAGATTGGTGATCAATATCCAAAAGACAGGATGGTGGATCTAAAGGGAATGGGTTCCAATATTTTCCTTTGTTTATTGCATGGTTTTGAATTTCACATTTATCCCAGACAAATCAAAATGAGTTATTTGTAGGTTGATCTAATTAAGAGGCTTTATCTTTTTGATTATGGGTAATTGATTTCAAACAGTTTGCTTATAAGTCATGTGATATCATGGTCCAAAGTTATGAGTGGTGGATCCAAGGGGAGTTGATATTGAATTTTTAATTACTTATCATGCTTATTGTAGATCATCATGGCATATACTAATAATTATTGCACATTTATTTAAACATTTAAGTAACCTTTCTTTGTGTGATAAGTGATGGATCAAAGGCATGTATATTTCACCAGTAATTGTTTTGATAGTTGAGGTGGATCCAAGGGGGTGGATAGATATGTTTTTAAATATTAAATTTTGTAATGTGTCAAAGGAATCAATAATGATCATGTGATGTTTATGGTTAATTGATTTTAAACACTTAACTTATATATCATGTGTGATCAAAATCTAAACTTATAAGTGGTGGATCCAAGGGGGTGGATATTAATCTTTTTTAAATATTTGTGGTGGGTGCAGGATCAAAGAATATTAATGATCAATGATTGTGGTTAATTTATATCAGACATTTAGTTTATATGTCATGTTTGATCATGATCTTAATTTTAAAGTGATGGGTCCAAGGGGGAGTGGATATTTATGTTATATAGTAGTTGTGGTTGATCCAAGGGGACTGGATATTAATTTTAAATACATGTATTTGTGATGGGTAAAAGGATATTAATGATTATAGGCTTATAGCTAATTGATTTCAAACATTAAGATTATATGTCATGTATGATCAAGATCTAAACTTATAAGTGGTGGATCTATGGGGAGTGGATATTAATTTTATTTTTTTTTTTTAAATATTTGTTGTGGATCAAAGGATATAAATGATTATGGCTAACTGATTTCAACATTAAGCTTATATGCCATGTGTGATCATGGTCTTAACTTACATTAGTGGTGGATCCTTGAGGAGTAAATTTTTTATTTTAAAATATTTGTGGTGGATCAAAGGATTTTTTTATTATAGTTTTTTAAAAAGAAGAATTGCTGTCCATCCAAGTGTTTACAGAAGATTCCCACTAATGCAGTTTTTTCCATCAGGAAGCAGTTTTGGAAACTGGTCATTACTCAGCAGAATCAGGAGATTTCAGTATTGTATGCAAACAAAGATAAGACAGTGTCACTAGCACAAATTTAAGTCCCCTTTCGGTTGATTGTACTTTTTCTCAACAAATAAAAATCAGTATCTCAGACACTCCTCTTCTCTTGGCAAGTCATTTGGTTGAGTTTTCTCTGGCAATAGTATTTGTTTATGACCCTCACTTTAATTAAAATAGCTCTACAAAAGCAGTTTAACAATGGATATATAACAGTCAATTTTGCATTGTTATGCCTCTAGATCTGCCACATAAAAAATAATTTGAATTTGTATATAATTGAAGATAAAATGCTTCATAAAGTATATTCAGACATTGCATTCTTATCCCATTATTCCCATATCTGCTTATTTATTTATCCCATGGGATTAAAAATACCCAGTATTATGTACTTTGCAGGATTTTTAATCCTAAGAAGGGCAAATATGGGATTTTTAATCCTATGTCGCCTGTTATGGGAGAAAAAATCCCATGGGAGAAAAAATCCCTCAAAGATTTTTTTCTCCCATGGGATTTTGGTGGGATTTTTGGTGGGATGAAAAATCCCACCATTCTCCCATGGGATTTTATGTTTTGACAGAGGTTTATGAGAAAACTACTACAATGTGGAAGTTGATATTGACATGATGAGGTCAGAATAAAAAATCCCACCAAAATATAGAAAAAAATCTAATGTAGGTCTTTTCGAAAGGGTACCTAAAAGTCCGGACTTTGTCGTGTCCGGACTTAAATGTCGCAGTGTTTATTGATTAAATTTGATTTTTAATTCTTATTTAAAATAACTACCAAACGCAATGTAATAATACATACAAATCTAATACCTTGCAAACTTTTCTTATGTCTTTTATGAGAGGCATCATGGTTTTTGGGCCCCTGCAGCAGTTGAGTCCTACCACATCCGCCCCAGCCTCCTCTAGCTTTCTACAAGCTTCAGGAAATGTCAATCCATCTGTCGTGGTATTTTTACCATGGGGAACAATGGACACCACTGATGGTACTAAACAATGAAAAAAATACTTGAGGTCATTGTATATCAATTATCTCATCCGATTTTCAAAATCATTGTCTAAAATGACCCCCCCCCCCTTACACCTCTTTCACTTCAGTTTTCTTTAATTTAACTTTTCAATTAGTATTCTGGCTATATACTATTTGTTTTTAATTATTTCTGACAATTCTTACGTCCTTTTCCATATTGCTTAATACACTGTAGGGCCAGTTCAGCTTCGGCATATTCACTGAACGTCTCTGCTACAATGAAGTCCGCGCCACATTCAACGGCCCACTCTATTTGTTCCTGAACAGAAGATTGTACTAGTTATGATGAAAGATATAGAGATATCGAACAGTATTCAATCTCAAAAGTCCATTAAATAATACAAAATAGGAGCAGAGTTAACACGGACCTCCAAAGCATCAGAGGTGGGATTAGGTGCTAAAGAGGAGCGAGCATCCCCTGCCGACCGATCACAGCCGGCCTGGGGGCCATAAAACTTAGACAAGCTCACTTTTGATCTCAGTCTCACTTTTTCCAAAGGAATATATGGTGGAAAAGTGAGACTGAGATCAAAAGTGAGCTCATCTAAGTTTCATGGTCCCCAGGACCGGGCAATAAATAAGCAATTTTTAAGTGCTTATATATAAGAACTTTTAATCCAGACTTGTAAATGCTTGCGTTTATTAACATGATTAAGTGAACCTTAAACATTTTTCTAGCAGTATCATTTGCTTCTTGGTTTCCGCGCTCGAATACAGTCGTGTTGCAAATATTCCCTGCCATTAATGTCCCTGTCTTTAAAGCAACTTCTTTGGCAAGTTTTAGAGCTTTAATGTTCAGTTCTTTCAGGTCATTCTCCCGGTCAATCAGTTTCAACTTTTCTCGATGCCCGTAGTACTGTTTAAAACAAACAAAGTTTTATAATAAGCAAAGAGAGAAGAACAAATTAAACTTAGTGTAAAAATTTGTAAGCAACCTTTAAATTCTTCAGCAAAAACAACAAATTGATAATTTCTTCACACGCCTTAAAACTTTAATCACTTCCTGTGAAAATTCTGAAAATACGCATTTGAATTTCAATGTTACCTATTGCTTCTGGCACTTACAGTAAAAGCAAGTACAACTTCACTTCCTGCATGGACGAATTCTTCATAGAGAGCCCGGACCAACTGCGGGTGATTAAGCACAACCTCTGGAACAAAACATCCTGCCCTCAAGTAGCCTCGGCGCTCAAATTCAAAAATATATCCTTCTGCTACTACAATGTCCTTCTTACTCTTCAGACGTTCCAGCAAACCTAATTTTAAAGCAGTGCAAAAATTATCTATATCAAGATCGAATTGATGGGACAATAAAATATTAGAAAATGTAAACACTTAAAGCCCCTAGCTAGCCTTAACCTTAACCCTAACGCTAACGCTAACCCTAACGCTAATCCTAAACCTAACGCTAACCCTAAACCTAATACTAACCCTAAACCTTACGCTAACCCTAACATTAACGCTAACCCTAAACCTAATGCTAACCCTAACACTTACGCTAAACCTAAACCTAACGGTAACCTTAACACTAACGCTAACCCTAACACTAACACTAATCCTAAACCTAACCCTAAACCGAAGGTATAAACCTAAACCTAACGCTAACACTAATCCTAACGCTAACCTTAACACTAACGCTAAACCTAAACCAAACACTAACCCTTACACTAACGCAAACCTTAAACCTAACACTAACCCTAACACTCAATCCAACCCTAAAGCTAACGCTAACCTTAATTAACCCCATCGCTAACCCTAACCCTAATGTTAACCCTAACAGACTCAACCTTACCATTTTATAACATGACCCCAGCAACCTAACTCTAGGCCCTCAAGCTAGCTAACCCTACCGCTTACCCTAGGAGCCAAACCATAATGATACATATATTCCTTCTATATAATAAACCATGAAACAGTGATGGTGTCTAACGCTGACCCTAACCCTAAACCTAACGCTAACCCTAACGCTAACCATAAACCTTATCCTAACACTAATCCTAAACCTAGCGCTAACCCTAACACTAACGTTAACCCTAACGATAACTCTAAACCTAACCCTAACTCTAATGCTGACCCTGACACTAACCCTAAACCTAACGCTAGCCCTAAACGCTAATCCTAAACCTAGCGTTAACCTTAACCCTATCGCTAACCCTAACCCTAATGCTAACCCTAACAGACCCAACCTTATCATTTTATAACCATGCCCCTAGCAACCTAACCCTTTGCACTCGAGCTAGCTAACCCTAACGCTAACCCTAGGATCCAAATCATAATGATACATATATTCCTTCTACTGTTAATCACTATTTATTCGCGAGAACTTTATTTCCGCGTAATTACGCGAGACAATATGCTCGCGAAAATTTCATTCTCGCGATTAATAGTATTCCTTAAGATTAGATAGAGAAATGACCATAATTCGTGAAAATTTTGTCTCGCTGATAAAGAGTCAATGACTACCTCGCGAAAATAAGGTGTCGCGAAAATTAAGTGATCTACAGTATATAATAAACCATAAAACAGTGATGGTGTGTGTCAACGATTTCATTTCATATAATATCAACGGATTTTACTTTTTAGTAAAATACAAAAGCGCTTTCTAGCGATTAATATGTCCACAGTATATATAGGTATCAAACAGACTTTACCTTCCACAGTCATTATTAGAGTGCTTCTCTCTACCAATATCAGGAACTGAACTAACACATGTGAAATACCAGGAGTACTTATCTATTGACCTTCATGCAACACCAGCATAAAAGTTACGACCCTAAAACACGAAAAGAAATTTCTCGACTACAATCACACGAAACACACCAGGCCTCAGGATCATAAAACAAACTCAGACTTAATTCAAATTTTCAATTTCCTGTAAAATGCTTATTAATTGTCAACTTAATTTCGAAATTAGTTGTTCACAGAACTTTGCTGATGCAATATTGATAAATATTTTTGATTTTGACTGTTTGAAATTTGCAGCATTTGAGCACAACGTAAAGATTTTGATGTGTCATGCCCCAGGCCATGCCAGGCCCCAAGACCATAAACTGACAACAGACTTGAGTTATCATAATGATTTTTAATATCTTGAGTTTTATTTAATGTATTTGCTTACAAATTTGCATTGTTGTGTAATATTTCACTTCAAATATATGATGAAAATTTTGTTTCAATGTCCAAAATTATTTCAAAAGTTATAATAGTTTGAAATTTTGAGTTAAGTCTGTTCTCAGTTCATGGTCTTGGGGCCAGGTGTTTCTAAATATTTATAATTTTTTCCATCATTTTTTTTGTTGTTGCATAGTATCATATTTCAGTTTCCATATACACAGACACGGATTTGTGATTATTGATATTACAAACCATAAGCTTAAGCTTTTAAACCGTCACATTTTATGGAAGAAGGTATTGCTCAAACAAGTCCGTGTGTTTCTTTCTTAGGAATTAACAGTTAATACTGGGACCAGCCTTGCATTCCTCCATACTTCAAGTCCATATCTTGTATTGGTATTTCTTCCAAATATACATCGACTTATTAATTCAAATCAAACTATTTAATTAGGAAAACACAAAGGGCCTAGATATCGAACATCTGGATAATAATTCTTCAAAGTGTTCGTTTTCCCCATCGCCCTATACAACTATAATCCTGTTGATCATAACTGGTGATGTAAATAGCTTTAATAATGAGGTCATTAATCTCTTCCTTTCAGAGGACCAAAATTCAGGTATCCCCATTTTTAGATTTTTTTTCTGGTGTTAAAATTTTATAAATATTCGAATTATGTGGCTTATTGAAAACATTCTCATGGTACACACAAGTACTCCAAAAACGATAATAACTATAAAGATGCTCGAGTTTCTGATAAATTAACAGTATCTATTTAGATTTTAGAGATCATAACTTCAAAGAATCTGTCGAAATTTCAAGAAGCACTCATTGCTCTCCCTTGATGTAGTAGACCAATTGTTATTCATATGAAGCATAATCTTTTTTTTTTAAACATTTACACTAAAAAAAAGAAATCACATGCTGTGGCCTTCAACTCGACAATTATAGGTATATCAACTTCATATTTAAATAACTAATTTCATCTATATAAATGTCGATTCGATATATCTCAGTGAACGTATAGAAGATACCACAGAGTAATTCCTAAAACTTCAACAACAAACGATAAACGGGAATATCCAATGACTTTAAGAAAAGTGGAAAAGTGAGACTGAGATCAAAAAGTGAGCTGATTTGGTAAGCAAGAGCATGACCTCTTGCACTGATGTAACTACAGAGATCCCCCCTGGAAACTGGTAAATTAATTTATTCTACTCAATCTCTACGACTATGTAATTTGTGTAATAAAAAATAGATAGATAGTTTATAATTTACTCCTTGCAAAATTTTAACTGCTGTAAAGAAGAACCTTCAGACGCAGAGTCTTACAGCTCATTCTTGAAGTGGTGTAAATCAGATGTGGATTCAAAACTCAGTAGCATCAAAATGCAAGATTTTTCTACGTTGTTTTTCTTCAATCATTCTTCATTATGATTAATTAAAGAATAGTTGTTTTGATATTATTGACAACTGATTCTTTATCTAAAATGGAAGTCGAAAAATTTTCTTTCTTGTAAATGGCCATCAACAAAATGACTTTATTAAAAATCATTCTGTTCTTTGATGTTGATTTAAAAAAGATGCTGAGGTTCTTTACTGAGAGCATTTATGTATTCTTCGGAGACCAAATTTTCCGACATTTTGTTTATTAGCTTCAAGAGATGTTCAATGATTGTAAATGTACATGTAGCTATACTTTCTTTAATAGAGAAGTTGACAGGGTTTCGCTGGTACAGATCTGTGCCAAAAGCGAAGATAATAATAATTCTATTTTTTCTCTATATATTTTATTGAAAACAACATTTTGTAAAATCACTGGCAAAAGGGCAATTATTTATCCAATTTCATTTTTGTATCATTACTTAAAGTACATGTAGAAAATATGTAGTATCTTTCTTAAAAAGCTTATTTGATATTTAGTTTTAAGTACATAGGCGTCGGAAGCAAATTGAAAGTGTGTGTGTGGGGGGGGGGGGGGGCTAATTGAAAGGGGGGGGGCTAAACCAATAAAAAAGGTAAAACCCAATTTTCAATGCCTATATTATGTACGAAAGGCCATTGAGCTCATTTTTTTAGGTTAAAAAAAATGATTTTTTTTGCGAACATATAACGCGAAACTTTCGCATTACAACACGAATCTATCGCGTTATAGCGCGTAGCATTCGCAATATAACGTGAAACTTTCGCGTTATAACGTGTAACTTTCGCGAATAAGCGCGAATCTTTCGCGTTATACATGTAACGCGTAACTTTCACGATATAACGCGAAACTTTTGCGATAAAATGCCGCACTTTTGCTATTTATCCAAGACATTTGCCTAAGTCTTAACTTTCTTTTGATTTTGTGATCTAGTTTATTCATTTCAAAGAAAAGCAAAAGGCTATTTTGATCGTGGACCATCATAATCTGCAATTTAAAGTTTTCTTGCTATTTAATCCATATTATTGTCACATTTTGTCTTTCTCTGTTCAACCAATCAAATTTAATGCGAGTTTTTCAAAAGTTAAACTTCATTTTTATGAATTTCGGGGGAAAAATCAATCCTTTCAAGCGTCTTTTTTATACACTTTCAATAGAACTTGAAATAAAATAGTTAGAATTAAGATCTCAGAAAATTGATAAAAGAAGGTAAGAATGGAGGCGTACAAGGCAAGGACAATCCCCCGCTCTGAGAAAAGACATTTCTCAATTTTAAAGTTATATTTTTCAAAATTATATTGTTTATATCATCTTTTACACACTTGATTCTGCATTTCATTGTGAACTAGGACCTGAGGTCCCCTGCTCAGTTCACGACTATCGGGCCTGTTTACTCCGCTACAAAATGTAGTGCGTTGCATACGTAAAGTGAAAATAGAATAAATCGTAATACTGTGAAGCCTTTAAAGTGTAAAACAAACAACTTTTTAAAAGGAATAACCATCTGATGGGTATTAGAAAAGATAGAGGGGGTGGAGGGTGGGTGCTGAGCAACATTAACTGCAATTTTATGCGATATATGATATATAAGCGTTTAACATTTATGGATTACGTTAGGTGACCTGTGGTCTCCCCTATGATTTTATTCCATGTAACGTTATAGTACACATCAGTAGGGGACAACAGTAAGGTGACCAGAGAACAAGTAATATTGTACATCAGTAGGGGGACCAGAGGTCACCTTATATTGTACATCAGTAGGGGGACATCAGTAGGGAGAGCAAAGGTCACCTTATATAGTACATAAGTAGGGGGACCAGAGGTCACCTTAAACTGTACATCAGTAGGGGAACAAGAGGACACCTTAATGTACATCAGTAGGGGGACCAGAGGACACCTTATTTGTACATCAGTAGGAGGACCAGAGGACACCTAATATTGTACATCAGTAAGAGGACCAGTGTGTCACCTTATATAATACATCATTAGGTTGACCAGAAGTCACCTTATACTGTACATCAGAAGGGTACATCAGTAGGGGGACCAGAGGTCACCTTATACTCTACATCAGTAGGGGGACCAGAGGGCACCTTATACTGTACATCAGTAGGGGGACTAGAGGGCATTTTGAATTCTACATATGTAGGGGGACCAGAAGACACCTTATATTGTACATAAGTAGGGGACAACAGAAAGGGGGCCAGAGAACACCTTATATTCTACATCAGTAGGGGGACCAGAGGTCACCTTTAATTCTACATATGTAGGGGGACCAGAGGTCACCTTAAATTGTACGTCAGTGGGGGGACCAGAGGTCACCTTATACTGTACATCAGTAGGGGACATCAGTAGGAGAGCAGAGGTCACCTTATATTGTACATAAGAAGGGGGACCAGAGGTCACCTTATATTGTACAGCAGTAGGGGGACCAGAGGTCACCTTAAATTGTACATCAATAGGGGGACCAGAGTCACCTTTATATTGTACATCATTTGGGGGACCAGAGGTCACCTTATATTGTACATCAGTAGGGGGACCAGAGGTCACCTTATACTGTACATCAGTAGGGGGAGCAGAGGTCACCTTTAATTTTACATATGTAGGGGGACCAGAGGTCACCTTATATTGTACATCAGTAGGGGGACCAGAGGTCACCTTATATTGTACATCAGTAGGGGGACCAGAGGAGTCACCTTATATTGTACATCAGTTGGGGGACCAGAGGTCACCTTATATTGTACATCAGTAGGGGGACCAGGAGTCACCTTATATTGTACATCAGTAGGGGGACCAGAGGTCACCTTATACTGTACATCAGTAGTGGACATCAGGGGAGCAGAGTTCATCTTTAATTCTACATATGTAGGGGGACCAGAGGTCACCTTATATTGTACATCAGTTGGGGGACCAGAGGCAACCTTATATTGTACATCAGTAGGGGGACCAGAGGTCACCTTATATTGTACATCAGTAGGGGGACCAGAGGTCACCTTATATTGTACATCAGTAGGGGGACCAGAGGTCACCTTATATTGTACATCAGTAGGGGGACCAGAGGTCACCTTATATTGTACATCAGTAGGGGGACCAGAGGTCACCTTTTACTGTACATCAGTAGGGGGACCAGAGGTCACCTTTAATTCTACATATGTAGGGGGACCAGAGGTCATCTTATATTGCACTTAGGGGGACTAGAGGTAACCTTATATTGTATATCAGTAGGGGGACCAGG